CTGTATCTTGTGGTAGCACTATTCCCGACTTTCAGAGAAAGCACCAGATTGATTTCCACAGTGGTTGTACAAGTTTACATTTCCACCAGCAATGGAGGAGTGTTCCCCTTTCTCCACATTCTGTCCAACATGTGTTGTCACTTGAGTTTTTGATCTTAGCTATTCTGATGGTTGAAATCTCAGGGTCGTTTTGATTTTCATTTCCATGATGAATAAGGACACTGAGCATTTCTTTAAGGGTTTCTCTGCCACTCGATATTCCTCTGTTGAGTATTCTCTGTTTAGCTCTGTACCCCATTTTTTAATTGTATTACTTGATTTGTTGCTTTTTAACTTCTTAAGTTCTTCCTATATTCTGAATATTAGCCTTCTGTCAGATTTCTGACATGAATTCAATTACTGGCTCTTTGATCACCTTCTCCTGAGGGGTGAGCAGCCTTAACAGGCCATAGTTGAAGACAATGCAGCCAATCCTGATGAGACCTGATTGACTAGGGTCAGAGGGAAGGGGAGGAGGTTGTCCCCTATCAGTGGACTTGGGGAGGGGCATGGGATGAGAAGAGGGAGGGTGGTTGGCATTAGGAGGGGATGAGGAAGTGGCCTACAGCTGGAATACAAAGGGGGAAAAACTGTAATTAATTTAAAAAATAAATAATTTTTAAAAAGAAATTAAAAAATTAAAGAGTCACATAACTTTCTCAAAAAAAAAAAAAAGAACTGAAACATAGTCACAGAACTTGGAAAATGAGGTAAACAAAAGGAGACATGTACTGCAGCTCTGTGGCTGATGTCCGTATTGATTTCATGCCCATCTCCAAAAGCTGATCTCTGTTCAATTTGCATATTGTGTCTACAGTTGGATACTTGATTCTTAGTGACCTAAAAGTTTTGATGTCAATGACTCTTGTTTGCTACACCAGCTGCCTTTATGTTCTGTCACTGTGATTAATATTATAAGTGGCTTGTCATTTTTGCTATAGTAGATCCCTGTGAATTCAACACATATTTGAGTATTGTTGTTGGGTACATCATTATTTACTTTTGATCCTACTGAATAAAGTCAATAATGGACAATAAAAGATGGGTTCTAGCTTAGGATTGTTATAGACATTCCTTTTCTTGGGGTTACATTTATTTCTGGGGCAATGGGAAGTCCAAACCTGGGTTGGGTGAAAGTAGCTTGAATGTTAGATGGAATGTTTGAGAGAAATGATGCTGTGACTCTTGTCTTACCCATTTTTACCTTCCTAAAAGGTAGACGCACTACAACCAAAACTGTAGCATTTTCTTTTGACACCTACTGCCCTTCCCTCTTCCAGCTGCATACTAAGTGCCAGGAAAGGAGACCAATGCTGTTTCTTGTGAATTCTTTAATTTTCAGCAGGAAATAGACAGTGAAGATTGCATCAGTATCCTCAGATTTGCCAAATCTTGAAATTTGGCCACATTTACTTTAATTACTTTTCAAAGGTTTACTCATTTTTCTTTATGTTGTACATGTGTGTGCCTGCATGAGTTTATGTGCAGCATGTGCATGTAGATTCTGGGGGAGGCCAAAAGAAGGTGTCAGATCTCCTGATGTTGGAGTTATAAATGGTTGCAAGCCTCCTGATGTTTGTGCCAACAACCAAACCTCTGAAGAACAGTAAAGAAATTAAGCAACTGAACCTCTTTAGAGGAATTGCTATTCCAATGTATTATTTCTACTTTCCTTAAAGTTTTGTGTGTTTCATGTGTGTGTATCTTTTTGATGTATAGTGAGATTTTTTTTATGAAGTCATGATTTTTTTAAATAAATTCTGCCACTCAGGAAGTATTCTTTCCTATTTTCAATCAGATTTTACATTTTAAAAATAGAACTGATTAATAGATGAGATTAAGTTACATGCATTCATATTATTTATGATGCTTTCTTGTATTATATGACAATTTGGACAGCTATATGTGTATTTATAGTGTATAGTCATACTTCTAACACAAAATGCATAGTTGTTAGTTTTGCAAACTTGACCTCAAGTATAGTAGATAGCTTCAAGAACTCATTAAAATCAATGTATAATAGTTTTGTTCACTAGAGGCAGTGGATATAGAACTAAACTATTGACAGTTTATAGAGCAGAGCACTAGGAGATTCCAAATTACAATTTCTAGTGTGTTCCCTGAAAAATCAGAATAATATGCCTCTCTAAATGCAGGTATATGTCCAGCATATATGGTTAACCAAGAATACTCACTTGAGCATCAGTATTCAACTGTTTGTTTTGATGCTTCAAGGCATAACTTCTTTTGGAGAAGATGTCAGTGCCTACCCCTTTGGAGTTCAGTTGATATTTATTAAATGACCCAAAGCTCTTAAGTGACCCAAAGCTCTCAAGTCAAACTGTTGATCTGGCTGCCCCCTTCCTAAGGCTATCTGATCCATCCTACCCTGACCCTAAATAGATTTTGTAAGGCTGTCTGTTAAACCAGTGTCTCTACACAAACAAAAACACTCCTTTCAGGCATGAAATTTAGAGGGCACAGAGATCACCTCCCAGAAGCCGCTTACAATGGCTAGATCATAGATCTTCTTTGGTTAAACTAAAATTCTTTATTGTTCATATAAATGTCCATTTGTTTGTGAATTCTTCTCTAGATATTTTGGTTTTATGTTGATACATTAAAAACTATTTTAAAATAAAAATGTATATAATTCTACATATCATATACTTTATAACTTCTTTGCAAGCATTTTTTTGTTTATTCCTCAAAAGAAGTATATTTGAATAGGTGAAATTAGAGGGCTGGTGTGAAAAATTAGATACAGTGGGGCTGATTATGCTGTTTCCATGATCACACAACTATTACGTAACATAGTTGACACATGAGCCCAGACAGTAAAAAGTGTTCTTTAAATACTATGACTAAAATAGATGCAAGAAGGAAGAAAAAGTTGCACACATCTTCTTCTTCCATACATGTAGCTAGGATTACCTAAAATATCTAAGTAGCAATAGGATTTGCTGCTCTGAAAAGTTATGCATCTTGGGCTTTTGTGAAATAAATAATTATCCAAACTGAAAGATTTGATAAGTGCTCATGGATATGTAAATATTTTCATATTGTTACCTTTAAAAAAACTTTCTTGTCTACATGTTGAAATGTTTAAAATTATGATTTTTCAATTTTATAAGTGTTATGTTTTCTGAAGAATCACTTTCCTGACTTTTTAATCTTCCTATATTCATTTCTAGTTTTGCTTTTCATACTTTATGCCTGTGCTCATCCTAGAACTGATGTTGAACTCAGTGTGAATCAGATGATTTTTTTGATATATATAGGCCATTGTTCCCCAAATCTTTTGTTAATCTTTTGTTAATTCCCTATTTCTTCTCTGAGGAACTCAGTAGGACAAAACAAAAGAAATTTCTTATCGTACATATCTAGAGGTCAGCAGTCTGAAGGAGACCAGCAGGACTGCATTCCTTCTTAGGGCAGGAAGGAAGGCTCTGTTCCTTTCCATTCTAATTTAAAAAGGCCACCTGCGTTCTTTGGCTTGTGTCCACCTTATACAAATGGCATCACTCTGACCTCTGAACTCATCTGCACATCTTTCTATCTGACTTTAACCTTCCTATTTCTTCTTTTGAAGATCCTTGTAATTGTGTTGTGCACACTGTGATTATCTGATTGTAGGAACCTTAATTCACTGTATTTATAAAATCCTTCTTGACATGTAGTGTAAATGTCTATATCTCTGTGATTAGGGTATAAATATCTGCTGATGTGAATATTAAGTCCACCACAGTCGTCTTTCTGATAATCTATTGTTTTTTTTTTCATATTTTTGATTAATCCATTTTAAACAGGCCTATAGCATCTATCTAATAATTCTATCTGAATAAAGTTTTACATGTTGAGCCATGCTGTTAAATTGTGTCTACTAATTCTCACTTAAGACTTGGTATGTTCCTTTTTGTACTGTGTAATTTTAGATTTCAAAATCATCATTGTGGGACTTCAAATTGTGAAAGTAGTTGAAGTCCAGGATTATCATTAACCTAGAACCACTTTTGATATTTCCTTGGTAATGGGTGTTTTAGATCATTTAGTGGTATAATTTCAAATTTTTGATTTTTATGAGGGTGGAACCGTGATTCTGAGTACAGAGGTATAAGCTTTATGTACCCCAAGCTTTAGACAAAACGGCATTCTGTTTATCCCCTTGTCCCCAGTAGTGAGTTCCTTTTATCCTAGATCATTTTACTGAGGGTAGTTCCTTAAATAATCAGATGTCATAAAAGGTGATTTCCTTTTCTGCTTTCTGTCCTATTCAGATCTTAAGTCTTGTTCTCCGTAAGTGGGTGTTACATCTCTAGTACTTAGCAGACTGATATAAGTGAACTCTGTATGGCTTCCACTGTATTAGCTCATGCAATGTTCCAAGTTTTCATTTCCAGTTATTCTTGGGTCCTAGAGCTTTTGCTTACCTCTATGGTAACTGATATCTTCAAAAGTCTCCTGAAGTCTTACTTGTTCCATCCTTCTTCACCTTTCTCTGCTCTTATTTTGCTGAGTGTATCTTAAGCAACATCTCTGGAGGATATTTGTGACTTATGAACTTTAGAAATACAAGAGCTGGGGTTGAGGATTTAGCTCAGTGGTAGAGCACTTGCCTAGCAAGCTCAAGGCCCTGGGTTCAGTCCTCAGCTCTGGGGGGAAAAAAAGACAAAATAACAAAAAGACCAAAAAGAAACACAAGAGCTGATTTTAGGGGGACATTTAACTCTTGCTTAGGGACACTTTTGACTTGTTCACAATTTTAGATACCAATATTGAATATTAATTGTGATTCCTTTTTTTCATAAAGAAATTACTAATATTACATCTGAGAAGTTTTAATATATATAATGAAATTTATATTATTATCAAATTCATTTTTATTATACCAATTATAATATGTAAAATAAATAAATATTTTTCCAATTATTTTAATTCTCAATTTTCTATTCTCTTTCCAGAATGTGTGCTGTGTTTGGTGGAATCTATTGTCTTCGTCATTCTGTACAGTGCCTTGTAGTGGACAAAGAATCCAGAAAGTAAGGATGCTTTAAGTAACCTTTCTATATTTATACACAAGACACTGGTGAAAAATACAGAATTGGCTTTTTAAAAAGTGATTTTTGAAAGATCCTCCTTGGTATTAATAACATATCAACCATGATTAAATGTAATTTGTGTTTAGGTCTTCCAGAACAAGGAAAGTGAGTTCAGAATGTAGAAACTAAATTAACTTTCCTACAGTATGACTGTAGCTCCTGATCATTCAAGCTTAGAAGACAGATCATTTCAGCTGCCGGGGGTAGGTGATGAGTGATGTTAGTTTTCCTTGTGGCCTTACCTCCTCTAATTGATTTTCATCAGATGACAACAAAGCCCTCTGTTATTGCATTTTAAAAAATGGAGCTCACCTAAAAACTCATCATTAATCTCTGCTGATAATGCATGTCACTTCAAGAGAAAAGACTTTAATGAGTTTTTAGGTAGATTGTTGTCATAAACTATGCTGTCCTGTTATCTCAGGATAAATTCTTTTACAGCAGAATCAGGCTACAAGCTGGTTGAGGATTAAAGTATGAATCTACTTGCTTTATAACATTAACTAAGCACTGTCTATTTTGCATTTTAATTATTTTTCTAGGATTTATTTTTATTTACTAATATATACTTTTATCTGAATTAATTCGGATAAATTGACATTGTATAATTTCTAAGTCTTACCTTGAAAAAGAAATAGCTCAAGTGGATAAAGTTTTAGTAGCTCTTAAAACTATTGTTTTTTTTTTTTCTTTCTTAGATGTTCTCAAGTATCTTTTGGCCTATATTTCATAGATGACTATTTTATGACTATATTAAAAATAATGTTGTTGAAATTATAAAATGCCATAATATCGTAAATGGCTTGTTCCTTTGTATAGTAAATTTATATAGTCTAAATGGAATAAATTGGCCGTTAATTTCTCATAGGTGACAGTATTATAAGTAGTTAATTTAGTTAAGATTTGGTGCTATAAATAAGTAATACAGAGTAAATTTGAAGCTCTGTGGTGTAAACATTGACATGTGATTTAAGATTCTTACAAAGTATCTAACAATTGAATAGAACATAACCATACTATTCAAATAAATGCTTTTCTATATTTATATAGAAGACATGGGTGAAAGACTAGGTACAAAAGACTATTCTTTAATGCTCGGGATATTCAGGTTTTGGGCATGAAGAACTCTGAAGTAGTGGTTATCTTTTTATGCCTTTCAGCTTGTTTTTCCTTATATAGTGACTTTGAAAGAAGAGTGTTTTCCTTTGACAGAAAGTCCTATAACAAAATCCTTATTTGGTGTTTATTTGCTTGGGTCATTTTTATCCTCTTTGGACACCATTTCAGTACCAAATGTTGGTCTCAGTAACATGAAAAATTTGCATGGCTAATATTTCTTTTGGTGCTTTCATTCATTCATTCATTCATCTTTCTTTCTTAAAATAGGTATGCTAGTACAGTAATAGCATTTGTTGAAATAAAGGCTGTATTTACTTTACATTTGACATATTTTTGTGAAATAGTCTGAACAAAGGTTCTACTTTTATGTTCTTATACAGATTCTAGTTGGAACATAGAGGTGAATAATAAAAGTCTTACAAACCCTAAAAACCTCCCGACTAGTAATTTTCAAACTGTAAAGCGGTGGAGGAATTGAGTAAATACTCTTTTAGATACTGCCAAGAGTTAAGTTTTTTGTTGGATTGGTTTGTTTGGCATTTTGAGATAGGTTATCACTGTGTAACCCAGGATGATGGATGTGTTGGGTGGAAAACAACAGTTATAAGCAATACCCCAGAGGAATCTAATATAGATCGAGCTTCCATGACACTGAGAAACAGTGATCTTTGTAAGGTGATTTTAATTAGGCAAGAGTAGTGTGTTCTGTGTGAGCTTGGGAATTCTAGACCTCAATTTATTTTAATGCTTTTTGTAGATGAACTTTCCAGATATATTAGCAGTATGAATTTTAGGTAGTAGGAAGCTTAAAATCTTTTGAAACAGTATTCACAAATTCCTGAAGCACCATGTTTATTAACAGTACCCAAGATGTGTATAAAGGTCTGATAATCCTGCAGTGTGAAGGGCTTTTGAACAATATTAGTGCTGTGAATGAAAACAAGTCCTCTTTTGAACACTTCCTCTATTTGTAAGATAGTTTAAAAGAACTCAGCAATAATTAGAATCTTCTTTTAGATTTGACCTGATTCTTAGATTATTGTAAATGGTATTGGAAAATACTTATCTGGCTCTTCCTTAACATGTAGAAATAAATGATCTTAAAATATTCCGTATTCTTAACTGCGGGCCAATTGTCACATGATTGAGTAATGAGCGATTAGGAACAAATTGAGCCATTTATTTGTGTCTATTTTTATAAGCAAATAGCACAGTACCTATTTTTTTTGCTATGCTACATTGTTTTCCAATGAAAATCATTTTCTTATTTATCTTGTCAAAATTCAAAGTACCTGTAGGAGTGTGGTTTTATTTCTGTGTCTTAAGTTCAGTTCCATTGACCAACCTGTCTGTTTTGTATGCTAATACTGTGCAGTTTTTACTACTGCTCCGTAGTATAGCTTGAAATCACAGATGTTGATACCAATAGAAGTTATTTCACTGTACAGAATTTTTTTGGCTATCCTGGGTTGTTTTGTTTTGTTTTCACATTAAGTTAATGGTTGCTCTTTCCAGGTCTGTAAAGAATTGTGTTGGTATTTTGATGGGAATTTCATTGAATCTGTAGCTGGCTTTTGGCAGGATGGCCACTTTTACTATGTTAATCTTACCGATCCATGAACATGGGAGTTCTTTCCATCTTCTAAAATCTTCTTCAATTTCTTTCTTCAAAGACTTGAAGTTCTTGTCATACAGGTCTTTCACATGCTTGCTTAGAGCTACACCAAGATATTTTATATTATTTGTTGCTATTGTAAAGGGTGTTGTTTCCCTGTTTCTGTTTCAGCCCTTTTGTTGCTTGTAAAAAGGAGAGCTACTGACTTCTGAATTAATTTTGTATCCACTTTGATGAAGGCGCTTGTCACCCAGTTCTCTGGTAGAATCGTGGGGGTCACATATGTATACTATCATCTCACCTGCCAATTTGTGTCCCCTTGATCTCCTTTACTTGTCTTATTGCTCTAGCTAGAACTTCAAGTACTATATTGAAGAGATTGTGGTGATAGTGGGCAGCCCATCTTGTTTCTGATATTAGCAGGAACGCTTTATGTTTCTCTCTATTTATGTTTCTCTCCATTTAACTTTTCAGCTGCATGCCAAATATAAAAAGACCAACCTGCCACCTAGTCTCTTTTGCACTCTCTGTACTTTAGTTTATATCCCCTTCCCTCTTCTCTGACTCTCTCTCAAAAGGGAGAGTGGGGGAGCAAGAGGGTAGACAGGATACTACCATGCTCCTCTTTCTCATCTCCTATGCTCTCTCACTGTCTATCTCTGTCTTTATTTCTTTGTCTCTCTCTCTCTACTCACTTCCCCATCCCTGCACATTAAATTCCATATCTATTGTGTGTGGCATTTTATTTACATGATTACAGCAACCTCTTTGGATATGATAAGGCATTGATTTTCCTACTGAAACATTGATTTCAGGCTTTAACAATTTATCCCATAATAATAGTACAGTTTTCAAACTTTACTTGGAGTGATATGATTCCTGTTATTTACTGTCACCTCACTATGTGAGTTGTTTAGGTGGTCCTTAAAGTTCTTTCTTAAGAAGCACACAAAAAATAAAAAAGCATGTAGTAAAATTGAAAATATATACCTCTAATAACAATTGCCATGTTTATGTAAATATCAAAAGGTAATTTTAATTCAAGTTGGTTTCAGACTAATACATCTTTCCCAAATACTGCTCTCACATAAAATCTATTTTAGAGAAATGCCAGTAATAGGAGATATATTGTGAATACCTAAAAGTACAAAATCATGTTGTTAAAAATCCTGATCTTATAGTTGAGTGTATACAATGTTTGTTTCTCTTTAAGGACTCTAAGATGACATAGAAAATTGTTTATTGTAATTGTAATCTTAAGCAAGCAACTTACAAATATTTGCATTTGTATTCTTTTACCTTGCCTTTTTTACTAGATGGAATATTTGACATTTCTTCTCCCATATAGTGTAACTACAATTTGTCCATGCTTCAGGTCAGAGTCTTTAATCTCAGACACTGGATTAGACATCTGTGTCAGGTCCCCTTGTACAGTTATTTGATAAATTCTCTGTTGGAAGTGCAAGATCTCACTATAATATCTTCAGAGTGAAGGCATGTCTCTATCACTCTTTATCTGCAGTAACCCTCTAATTAAATTAATGAATGAAGCATAGAGTGATTTTAGCTTTTTTTCTGTGTGCTTTGATTTTATTGTCTATTTAATAAAGTTGACAGAAACATAAATGACTATACTGTTGAGGTTGATGTCCTCTTTAAACATTAAAGTGTGAAATAAGCTTTGAGAGAGGAGGGCCATGATAAAGTACATGGAATATATGACCAACTGCATCTCTATTTTGCCTAGAGGTTGTTTTTTTTTTTCTTTTTTGCGTAATTTGCTTTGCCTATGATGTGTATTATGTAGACTTCCCATGCTGTTTTTAAGATACCTGCTAATCATTCATCCCCTCCCCCAGTTCTAATACTCTGCCTTCTGATTGTTGTTTTTGTAAACACTGAGAGCTCATATTTCTTTTCCTATATAGTTTTGCCGACTCCGTAAAATTTAGAAGAATTCAACTTGACTGTTTAACAGTACAGTATTTAACAAGGAGGTATGGCAGTTCTGCCTTTTGATTAGTGTGGTCTGTAAAACATAGTCCTGGTGTATTACTTCAGTTCATCCTGCATGTTTACTTCAGCATTTTAAATTACAGTATTCCTTGTTAGGATTTTTTAGAAATACTATTTTTTCTGTTGTCAGGAAACTATAACTCTACTGGACATTTGGATGCTAATAATAATTTCTTAGGCTGGATGTAAG